AAAGAGAAGAGTTGCTTATATTAGATATACCATGTGTTTTTAGCAGCCTCTCTCCCTTGTTATAAAATGGAGGAAACTTAAATTCACTATCCACTATCAGAGAGAATACTCTAATTTAAGGTTGTTTTCTTTTCATCCCCTAACGGATGGAAGAGTAAGTCCTGGTCCCAGGCTTTTCTTTGCTGACTTGGGCCAGGAGTAGTAATTCTTTTTCTAGAAGCTACTAGGTCTGATCCATCTGTTGCTTTGTGGGGAGAACCCCTTCCCCAAGGCTTTTCTTGCAGTAGTTTTGCTGGAATGTCCTACTTGCATGTGAGCCTGGAACTTTAGAAGTAATTTTAGTTCTGTTATTTAATTTAAGAAAGTTTGGTGTCCAGTGTGGCTGTATTTGTACATAAGAGACTATCTGTAGAAAAAGAATAAAAAACGTGTACACAGCAGGTTGAATAAGTACTGTGTCTTCTGAAAACCTTGGGCTTAAGTGTCTAAGGCAGTTCTGTTTAGACCAGCGCTCAGCGTGGACTTGCTAGAGCGTAGTATCTGTTGTTTTATTTCTCCAGTTGGGGAAGCTGTCTCTTAATATATGGAGACTCTAGAATGGGTAAGAATATGTGTTAAAAAAGAAAAAGAATATGTGTGGTAATTAGAATTGTAAGACATGGCCTAAGCAAGTATGGATACTTTTGACTTGCTTTTGGATTTAGTTGTTAAAAAAAAGTGGAGTGTAGAAATATGAAACAGAGGAGAGAAAACCACGTAGGTACAGCAGAGCAGCAGTATTCAGCAATACAGTGAGCATACAAGGAGGGTTTATTAGGATTATACACGTGGAGAGGAGAGTAGCACAACGAACACAACTTCAAAGCAATGGTGGGTTCATGTCGGGGGACAGTGCACAAGCAGACCAAGGGCATAGGAAGTTTAGGGTACCCATCACATTCAAGGCACACTACTAGATAACCCTTGGTTCTCTTTTGTGACTTTTTTTTATATAGCAGCAAAACTTAGAAAGAATCTCTCCAGAGGGTTAAATGTAGTACCATTAAGTACGTAATGATGCTAATCAACTGTGTTGTTCAGGGTTCTTCACTGCAAGCTACCAAACAGTGGGAAAGGCCCTCAAAGGCTCTCTGGTGCTTTCAGAACTGACTGCAGTTGGAGGAACAGGGGAAACACTGCAGAAAAGGTGGGGTTGGCACTACCTGCTGCCCCACCCTGAAGAAATGCTGACTTTTCCTCAAATCCTTGTGTGACTACAGCTTCAGGGTCCCAAGTGTCCAAGCCTAGGTCACGTGCTTGCCCCCAGCTGCACCATGACCAGGAGAGAAGGATCTGGATCTTCTAGTTGCTGTAGTGCAAAGCAGTCACTGCCTCCCATGGGGGAAAGGAGGCTGCAGGGTGCTGGTTGGGAAGAAGTTTTGGTTGCTAGACAGCAAAAAAAAAAAATAAGGCATGTAAACTGTATCTATCTGAAGCTCAGTGTCTTCACAGATATTAACCATCTTTCTCAGGCTCAGCCAGCATGCATGGAGAATATTAATTTCATTTTCCTTTAATGATTTGTTCATTGTTTTTAAAAACAAAGACAAAATAACTTGGGACTATCTTTTTAAATTCAATCTTTATCAAAGTTGTATGTGTACATCATTTAGAGTCATAGTTCTACCCAGTTTCTAATGAAGAACAGCATTCCATGTGCTCCCATTCCTATTTTCTACTCCCCAGAGAAAACTATTTTCAATTCTTTCTAGCTGATTTATTTGGTATTAATCTTGATATTTCTAAATAGCACACTGTGGTTATGTCTTAATGTTTCCGTTTTGGGCATTATTTATCAACTTCCCACAATGGAAATGAGTTTTGTTCTTTCTCAACACTTTATGCTTAATCACACATACACTCTCTTCTCCTTCCCCCATCCTCCCAGGATAATTGTATTGGATCCATAGCCTGTGTTTTTATTATCATTACATCAACACTGTTTGCAATGAAGCCATGTAGTATAATGTGACTACTACTTTCTCCCAGGACCACCTTTGATTTTTCCCTGATGTTAATAATTGTCTTGGTTTTTTAATTCATTTGCTTCAATTTTCTATACTTCTCACTGATGTGACCCCCAAATCTCCCCTAACTGAATAAATCCTCTTTCCATATAAACACATTAGATATTCTATGAATTTCATCTTTTTTTTTAAATTTCATCTTTTAATTTTTTGGGTTTTTTTGGCTGCACTGGGTCTTCGTTGCTGCGCGCAGGCTTTCTCTAGTTGCGGCGAGTGGGGGCTACTCTTCGTTGCAGTGCGCGGCTTCTCATTGCAGTGGCTTCTCTTGTTGCGGAGCACGGGCTCTAGGCGTGCAGCCTTCAGTAGTTGCAGCAACGCGGGCTCAGTAGTTGTGGCTTGCGGGCTCTAGAGTGCAGGCTCAGTAGTTGTGGCGCACAGGCTTAGTTGCTTCGTGGCATGTGTATCTTCCCGGACCAGGGATCGAACCCATGTCCCCTGCATTGGCAGGCGGATTCTTAACCACTGTGCCACCTGGGAAGTCCAAATTTCATCTTCTTAAAAAGAAATCTCTTCCTAAGTGTTCTGACTTGCTCCCCTCTGGACCCTGGACCAGTCACCCTCCAAGCCTGCTAAGGAGCTATTGTCTTGGGGTCTCCTTCAACATCACTCTAAGGACCCCTTTACCTGTCTCTTGTTTTAGATCCCTTGCTTCCTCGATTCAGTGTCATCCTCTTCCTTGGTCTTCCCTGTCATTTTGAAGGAGCATGTTACCATTCGTTTCTTTTTTTTTTTTTTTTAAATTAATTAATTATTTATTTATTTTTGGCTGTGTTGGGTCTTTGTTGCTGCTTGCAGTCTTTCTCTAGTTGCAGAGAGCAGGGGCTACTCTTCGTTGTGGTATGCAGGCTTGTCATTGCGGTAGCTTCTCTTGTTGTGGAGCGTGGGCTCTAGTTGCGTGGGCTCTAGTAGTTGTGGCCCATGGGCTTAGTTACTCCGCAGCATGTGGGATCTTCCTGGACCAGGGATCGAACCTGTGTCCCCTGCATTGGCAGGCAGATTCTTAACCACTGTACCATCAGGGAAGCCCACCATTCGTTTCTTGCGAAAGTAAAGGTTTTTTTAGTTTTAGGAATCATTTCCTTGAGAATTTTAAAGGCACTGCTCCATTTTTTTCTGTCCTCCAGAGTCCCTGTTGAAAAGTCTCATTCATTCTGATTTTGACCCTTTGCGTAACAACTTATTTTCCCTCTGGAAGCTTCTCTTTAACCTTGATGTTCTGCAAGTCCACAATGATGTGAGTTGGGCCCTCGCTGGACCTTTTCTTGAATTCATTTGTTTGATGACTTCCTCTCCTTGGTGTTTTCTGTTCTTTCTCAAATTCCTGCTAGTTAGATGTTGAACCTCTTGTACTGATGTCCAGTTTTTGCATCTTTACTCTCCTGTTTTTTATCCTTGTAGTCTTTTTCTTTTTCTTTCTGAAATAATCTCTCAACTTTGTCTTCCAAACCTTGTGTGGAGTTGTTTGGTTCTGCTATCAAAATGTATATTTTCCTAGAGTTTTTTTTGTCCTCTGAACATACTTTTTTTATTTAATTGGTATCGTTGATGCATTTATTGTATGATGAGCAATACAGAAACAAGAAAATATAAATATATAAGTTAGAAGGCATTTTCTGACTGAAAGAGATAATCAGTTGACCAGTCTCAAAAGTTGTAACCTTGAGCCAAAGAAAAATCACCTAAAATACACAAAATTCAATGGTATACAATTTTTAGTACAGTATTTATAAGGATTATGTTTTTTTTAAGATTTTTTTTTTTTTTTTTTGGCTGCTTCGGGTCTTAGTTGCAGCACACGGGATCTTCGTTGAGGCATGTGGGATATTTTGTTGCGGTGCACGGGCTTCTCTCTAGTTGTGGTGCGTGGGCTCTGTAGTTGTGGCGCGTGGGTTCCAGGGCACGTGGGCTCCGTAGTTTGTGGCACTCGGGCTGTGTAGTTTGTGACACTCGGGCTCTCTAGTTGAGGTGCATGCGCTCAGTAGTTGTGGTGCACTGGCTTAGTTGCCCCACAGCGTGTGGGATGTTAGTTCCCTGACCAGGGATCGAACCCATGTCCCCTGCATTGTAAGGTGGATTCTTTACCACTGGACCAGCAGGGAAGTCCCTGTAAGGATTATGTTTTGCTGGTTGTTTTTGTGTTTGTTTTTAATGCTCATTTTTAAAAGTTTATATCTTCCTCTGTAGTCTTTTTTTCCCTCTAAGTTGCTTTTCTTCCTCTTTGTTTTGGTCTGTCTTTCATAGTAAATGCTTTCTTGAGTTTCTAGTGATCCTTGGTTATCTTCTCACATTTAAGAGCAGGCCACTAAAAAGTTACTTGAGAGGTCTGAACTTGTGAGTAAAGCTTATGGACTGTGATCTTCACTGTAGGGCAATCTGCCTGAGTCATTTACTGGAATTTCTCTCATATCTGTTTCTTTAGGTCTTTTATCTTGGCTGGTCATATTCTGTTGGAAAATTTTAAATTTTGCACTGTTCATTTTCTACCTCTTTCTTGCAATTTCTAGATGTGTACAGTCTGAGTTTTCATGTTGTAGACAAAAATATCTCCCCTGGGTCTCTGCTTTTTCCTTTAAATGCCTTTTGTACTCTCCTAAACATTCTTTTTTTTTTTTTTTTTAAATATTTATTTGGCTGTGCCAGGTCTTAGCTGCGGCAATCAGGATCTTCATTGCCGCATGCGGCATCTTTAGTTGCGGCATGTGGGATCTAGTTCCCTGACCAGGGATCAAACCCGGGCCCCCTGCATTGGGAACATGAAGTCTTAACCACTGAACCACCAGGGAAGTCCCTCTCCTACACATTCTTATTTGCTTTCTTGGCACTTAGCAGTTAGGCCCACTTGCTAAAAAATAAACAAGAGTTGATAGGAGCAACACCTAGAGTACAAAGTAGGAGTCACTTCAGTGCCTTGTTTTTCCTTAATATATTGATCAGAAATTGGATGAACCTTCGGGATGCTGAGACAGGGAAGATACTCTGGCAAGGAACAGAAGACCTGTCAGTCCCTGGAGTGGAGCATGAAGGTACTTTCCACCCTTTGTCTGCACAGGGCTGATGACGCAGAGCAGGCCTAGGCATCAGGGAACTGAGTTAATGGAGACCCACCAGGGGACGGGCCTCTGCAGGCATAGCACGTCAGTCCACGTGGTGCTGAGATGTCTAGTTTCTTTCTTATGTTTCTTTCTCCTACTTCCCAAAACCCACCTCGTGCTGAAATTTTAGCATTAGAACATACCCAAAGATACAAAGATCTCAACTTTTTTCTGAAAGAAACTTTGTGTTTTTATCTCCCTGAAATAAAAGAAAAACCAAGGGAACCGAATAGAAAGAAGGTTCCCATTCAGCCCCTTTCCTGATAAGAGGAGCTGGGTACGGCCTTTAGATGCACTAAATCTATTGTTCCTTGAAGATCTTTCAGTCAAATGCACTGGACCAGTTTGGGACCTCTGCCTTTAATTAAAGTGTAATTCTGTTACCAAGGCATTTTATGAAATTTAACATAGATAATATACGCTCTAAATCATCTCTAAGAAGCTCCCAGAAATGCTTTCAATATTTCTTTTTCTTTACCAGCCCGTGTTCCCAAGAAAATCCTCAAGTGCAAGGCAGTGTCTCGAGAACTGAACTTCTCTTCAGCAGAGCAAATGGAAAAATTCCGCCTGGAACAAAAAGTTTACTTCAAAGGGCAGTGCCTAGAAGGTATTCTGCTGCCAACATGCCTGAAATCTGGGCTTAGGGACAAAATCTGGACAGGGACAGAAGTCAAGACCCAGTGAACTAAAGCACTGCTTTGATAACATTTATTTTGCAACTCAGTTTGTGATAGGGTTCCTACACCCTGGCAGACTGGGGAGCCCTGGCGAAAAGAAGCAAAAACAAAGCTGGCAACTACAAGGGGCTCTGAGCCCAACAAAAGGGTTACTGACCCTGGAGGGCCTGAGGGTGGTGCCTGCTTTGTCACTGGCGTGGTATTATAACATGGTCACAAGGAAGCTGCTGGTTAGGGCCTGGTACAGTGCTCTCCATACCGTCTTGTACAGATTTGACTGGCAAGGCCACTCTGCATTGAGTTTTTACCGTGAAGTCTAAGAGTGTACATATGTGTCTTAGAGCTGAAATTCCAAGTGAAAAGGCCTGTTCTGTACTTCCATACTTCCTGGATGTATATAATTTACATCCAGCCTACTGCTAAGAAAATATTGCTGGCCCTAGTGCTTTAGATCCCAGAGCATAGGGAGCAGGCCTCTAGTGTGGTTCAGGGGACACAGCCGGAAGGGGGCTTCCATGTCCTTTCTTATGCCTCTGGCCTGGGAAGTTTCTGATGGCTTCAGTGGTGCTTCCTGGGGTAGGAAGAGGCTTGCCCTAAAGGATGGGGACATGGAGCCCTGAGACTCTGCCCAGGGTGCCAGCTCACCTGCTTTTCCTTCTTCCTTCAGAATGGTTCTTCGAGTTTGGCTTTGTGATCCCTAACTCCACAAACACCTGGCAGTCCCTGATAGAGGCAGCGCCCGAGTCCCAGATGATGCCAGCCAGCGTGCTAACGTGAGTGAGCGGGCCGCAGGAACTGTGGAGGTGTCTAGAAGCAGGAATTCCAGGCACGTGGGACTCGTGGTCCCGTTCAACAGGCAGGCAATCTAGGTTGAGAACAAGGGTAAAAGAGTATCCAGTGGTATCTGAAGTTACAGCTTACTGACTTTTGTCATGTGAAAAAGACAGTGTGATAGAATGGAAAGAATTAGAAACTTCAGATTAAACCTTTAGACTAAATTCCTGATTAACCATGACTAGCTGTGTAATCTTGGACAATGTACTTTACCTCTCTGGGCCTTATTCTCCTCCTCTCTAAATGTAGAATTAATAATTATCTCTTACAGAGGTATAGTGCAGATAAAATGAGATGATATGGAAGGAAACTGGCATATAATATATATTAAGTCTATGCTAATTGGCTCCCTTTCCTTACTATCAAACTTCTGCTGCTCTGTACTTTGTTTGAATGGCCTTCGGTGGAATCTGGCAAAGTCCTAATTCTGTTTTAGAGGATAATATTTGGTTATAGTTTTTCAGAGACTAGCTTACAATTTTAATAGATATGCTTCCAGCTCAAAGAATAATTAGTTTGTCCTTTGTCCCCAAAAGTCAGTCAATAACTGCCTACCTACCATTTTTCTCTTGGGAAAAGATTTTAGTCTTTTAAAAGTTTTAGCAATATTGCCTAGTAACAAATTATTCACACAGATAACTGTGCAATATTGGATCATCTCTTTAAACAGGTCCTTTATGAAAGCCACATTGAATTTGTAAATAGAGGTTATTTATTTTATAAGTCTTGAATAGATTTTTAATTTGTATAATAGTACGTATTTTTATATTCCATCAACCAGTCAGATCTTGAGTTCCTTATTTACCTATTTTATAATTAATTACTAGCAAGAAGATATCTGCTGGATATTAATTACCCTGGGAAAGTACAGTGTCATATGTAGAAGGGCATTTTTTAGATTTTATTAACCATTATTTGACTTATTCTTGTCCAGGCCTGATTTCTTTCAGGTATTAACACCACTAAGTCTGTGATAACATATTTAGTTTATTTAAGTTATGTCTTACTTTTTAGAACCCCAGAGTAGTACCACTGTTGCCTTTAACTTAGTACAAGAGTAGTTTGATTTGGAAACACTGAGGTAACCACCAAGAAAAATGAAATTGCACACTGTATACAATACAGGTGTATTGTTTGGGGTTCTTAAGCCATAAGCCATAGAAACTGACTCTGGCTTACAGGACAGCGTTGAAAGGGTAGGGCCGAGACCTGAGAAACTCGAAAGATGCAGGTGGCAGGAACTGTGGATGGTTTCCTCAAGGAGCAGCTGTGGGAAGGATCTTGCTCAGGGGAGAGAGTCTGATTGGCCCAAATTACATCCTGTGCCCACCCCTTTGCCAGGTGAGGGGGGAGCCACTTGGTTGACCCATGGACTGGGGATAGGGTGGTTCCCCAAGAGAAGAACAGAGTGCTGTTACTCAAAGTGAGGAGAATAGATGCAGGACAGGCCAACCCACAGCTGTCCACCAGAGTAAGTTTTATAGGAAAAGATACGTCCGCAGGTTTCCATGTGAATCAGAAAGTCAGGCATATTTATAGGCACTGCTGTGTGCAAAGCACTCTAAGGGCCTTAGGTATACTGTGGATTAACACATGCTCCCTCTTATGATTTCTGAACTTGAAGAAGACCTACCTAGTCACATAAGTTAAATGTCATGTTAGACATCTAACCCCAATGGACACAGATTTTAACATCCCCAAGCCAAGGTTATAGGTGAGTGCATGTCCACAGGCCCAGCAGACCCAGATTGAAACCACTTTGTGGAAATGAGATCTGTTGTCTAACACGCTCACTCTTTCGCCCTCTCTTCTTACTTATAGTGGAAATGTTATCATAGAGACAAAGTTTTTTGACGACGATCTTCTTGTAAGCACATCCAGAGTGAGACTTTTCTACGTTTGAGAGAAGAATATGTGTGCATTTCAAGAATTCATTTTTTTAGGGGGAAGGAGGAAACTGTTTACTTTTTTCCTCTATACATTTGATTTTTGACACTTCCACCCCTAATTCCCTCTACGGCAAAACCCACCTGTGGCCACCAGGGGACCAGCTCTGTGTAGGTAACCAGATGGCTTTTTTCTCTCAAGCCACCATCTTCAACTGACCAGATTAAACTCCCAATCCCGGACCAGGGCAGAGGGCATGCCTCAACTCCTTCTTGGAGTAGACACGGGGACAAACACATACCACAAGCTGTTCCCGTCACCCTGCCTCCTTCTTGGGCCCTGCAGGCAACACATCTTCCTTTGGCCCCTGGTTTTGGAAAAGTTCAAGTTCCTGACCCACGTTTAGTTTTTTCCTACCATTTCTATTTCATACATTCTCATACATTTAACTTGTAAAATAGACTGTGATATTATTGTTACATAGTGAATTAAAACATATGAATTAAAATATTCCTATGTCTTTAGCATGGCATTGCTTTCATCTCTCCTTTTTTTGGAATGTGAACCTGGCTCCATGATGGGAAGAAAGACATTTAACAGACCAGACAGTAGGATCACAGCTATATTTTACTCCAGAGATCAACTGATAGATCTTGTGGTTCCTGAGTGCTTCAGTTGCTGCTTTCCAAGAAGGTACAACATACCTGAACAAGACCCATGACCTTGACATTTGTCTTTTAGATGTGATATTTCATGGTTCTCTTCCACAACATACATGCACCCTCTGCTTGTTTGTACTGTTTTTAACTTTTTCCCTTCTTTTATAATGTGCATTTGTTCAAGAAGTTTCCAGAAAGGTTAGAAGTTCTAAGTTGGTAGAGTAAGGACTCTTATTCCTAAATGAGAAACTAGAATTTTCAAAATGAAGAAAAGATCTCCCTAAACTCAACTGGAGAACAATGGGAAGGCATCCAGGATGGGGTGGGATGCTGAGAGGCCTTAAAACCAGTGGTCAGAGGAAGCCCATGTGACAGAGAAGTAGTTATATCTGCAGTGCTTCCAAGTCTGACAATAGAGAGAAAACTAAAAAGGGCTCTCTTTCAGGAACTTAGCTCTGAGCTACCAGTAGCCTTCACTGTCCTTTATAAAATACCAACAATTAAGTTTTCTGGTTCCTCCTGTAGTAAGGTCTGAGGCCAGAGGAGGGAAAATACACCGAGAGATGGGCTCTCCTTGGTGTAGCCCCTGCTCCTAGATTCCTGCTCTCCTTCCATCTGTTACCGCAAAGGGCCTGTTTGCATATGTGGGTGGGGAGGAGAAGCAGTACATTTTTAGTACACTATCGCCATCTTTCAGTGATGACTCCATTCTTCACATTAGATCTGTTATCTTCAAAAACTAATTTTTAAATACCAAAGGTTGGATAAAAAAACAACAACAAGGTAAAAGTGAATCAAGCTTTTCTTTTGCTTTCCAAAACTGCCATGTCTTTTCTCAGAGTGGACCTGTCTCCTTCCCTTTTCCTGGACTATATCTTCTCCCCAGAGTCCCATCAAGGAAGGCTGTCAGGGGCCTGGACACATGCTGATGGAGAAAGGACTTCCCAGGGAAGGCTTCTCCACCCGCTTAGACCTCCTTCACTGCCCTTCTCCACTCACTCACCCAGCCAACAGTCAGGGACACACTTCTTTGCTAGCCGCTCTGAGAAAAACAAAAAGAATCGTAGTCCAGTCGTTCTTAGAAGCTTGCCATCTCTCCAGGTACATGTGCTCAGGCAAAATTGCTCATTTTATCATGAAACAAGCAAGACAAAAGAAGCGTGTGCCTCAGGCACAATACTGATCAAGGGGTGCAAGCGTGGGTGGGATTTGAACTGATGGGAAGGATCGCTGAATGCTATGGTGGGAGGAGAAGGGAAGTGGTACAGGCCAGGGAAGAAGTCAGGCAAAAGGAGAGGGAGGACACGGGAGCTGCAGGGACCAGGGCCCTAGGTAGGTTAAGGTCAGCCCTTGTAGGGTGGGTGCTGGTCCAAATGCCTGAAAATATGGAGGGTTTGTGGATATATTAAAGGCCACAAAATGTTATTGGAAGGAGAAGCATACAGATCAGGCCTGGCACAGTGACAGCCACTGGTTCTCAGACATCTATGGCACCTGCCCACACCCAGAGATTCTGACTCAGTATGTGTGGGTCCCAGAAATCTGCCTATGGAAGCACCCCAAGTGATTCTGCTACAGGTGTTCTGTGGACCGTATTTTGCAATACTGGTAGAGGCATTTAGTGAATATTAGAGACATACCTGTGTACACTGGTGGCCATAAGATAAACTGAGATCTCCAAGCATGCTTAAGGAACAAAGGGTGGTCCCAGTTCTGCCCTGTGCCAGGGAGGGGAAGCTTTCAGTTGCTCAGGGCAATCAAGAGGAACTTTAGCGTCTTCAGAGGAGAGGACAGAAGAATCCCAGGCAGCATGGCCTTGGAGAAAGACTTGAGAGAACTTAGAGGATCTGTCAAACATAGATTTCTATTTAGAGAGTTTTGGTTAAGGTTTCCTGTGTGATGTGAGTAAACAGTCTCGTCCATCTTCCCATCTGTTCTACTGGCCAGTGTGCTGAGTGACTTCTGTGATGGAGCACATGGGGAAGCACTGAGTCTGGCCCTGGTTGGGCATGAGGGGTGGAGGAATCACAGTCTACCGAAGAGGATCTAGCCACATTCAGGCCACACTTACAGGCCTGTTATGTATATCAGTAAGATGTCGTGTGAGGCACAGGCCGGCCTTTCCTGAGCTTTGTCCCTAGTTGAGCAATTATAAGTGCCTGCCATAAGAGAAGGACAAGGTGGGCATTTAAAGGAAGAAGAGATTACATGCAGTTCAGAAAAATCAGGAAAGCCCTCTCTTCTCTGGATCCTTCAACTCTCAGCCTACAAAATATGTTCAAGTTGCCCTAAAAAAAATAAGCTTTTATAAATAAGGCTTTCCTTCAGTCCCGCATGGCCTTCAGCTCCCGCTCCCTCCTTTTCTTTCTCCAGATTCAAACCTCTTGGAATTGTCTCCACTCACTCTCTGCACCCCCTACCTCTCATTGACTCCTCAACCCACGGCTTTCTGGCTCTGGCCTGTGGCTTCCTCTCCTTCGAGGCATCAGTGAACTCCACTGAGCCACTGCCCCCGTCCAGTCCTTCTTGCTTTATCTGCTGGGACTCTGGGAGCCCCTTTGCTGAGTGTCTGTTCCTTACCCCTTTGCAGGCTCTTCATTTTCCTCCAGCTGCCTTGTCCCTAAAATGTTTGTTGGTGGATTTGGGATTTTTTTTTTTTTAGCTATTATATATTGAGAAAATGCTTGTGCAAATTCTTCTTCTTTATTTTTTTGGCCGCACCTTGCAGCATGCAGGATCTTAGTTCCCCAGCCAGGGATCAAAGCCATGCCCCCTACAGTGGTAGCTCGGAGTCCCAACCACTGGACCACCAGGGAATTCCCACTTGTGCAAATTCCTTAAGCATTATACATTCACTGCATGCATATTTATTGAACACTTTTTATGTACCAGACACTTGTTGGACAAGATGAGTGAAGTCCCTACCATTAGATTCTAATGAGAGGAGACAGAAAGCAGATAATTTCAGATAGTAGTCAGTGCTCTGAAGAAAACAGGACAGTGCAAGGGCAGCATGTCTGAAATGAGGAGGTGAAGAAACAGAAAGAAGTCAGCATTCAGCTTTTGACCCCAAAACAGGATTGACGAGTCCCCAGCAAGTCAACAGTCTGGAAAGCCAGGATTTACTCAAAGGAAAAGATTTTTTAAATCCCTTAACCTATCATCAGCAAAGTAAGAACCAGATGTGCCACACTTGATACTACAAAGGACTCAGGGTATGACAGGGAAGGCCCTGCCTTGTGGGAGGAGTGACAGCCTCCCCTTCCACCCTGCGAAGGATGGAGAGGAGGAAGCAGGGCAAAGAGGCCCAGTGCTGATGTCCTCGCTTTCCTCCACCCATCAGGCCTGGGTGGAAAGGCTGGATAGAAACATCTGCCCAGGTGTGGGGGAAAGATGAGAACTTCCTAGAGGTTAGTGGGGAGGGTTGGCTGCCCAGCAATCCAGTAGACGGAGGCCTATTCACTTAGCTTCATAACCATCTCCCCTATAGTGTCCTCCATGCCTACCACCCCGGCCGCAGTTCCTATATCCATCTGGGGCGAGTCTAGCTGATGGCATGGCCTCCCCTTGTGATTTATCCTTCACATCACAACCAGAGAGCCCCAGGATGTGCATCTGCTCACCAATTCCTGGGTATTGTCGAGTTTATTTTTAGAATTTCTTGCTAGTGACCTGGTAATTGTTTTGCAGCATTCAAAATGCACTGTTAAAATGGTCCTCAAAGTGAAAACATTAAATGGATTAGCAGTTCTTTTTGGTGCTTTTGTTTGGTCTGAAACTGAGCAGCTTCAACTATAGCTTTGAATAAACTGAGGGATGCAATGCAGTGGACTGAGAAGCAGAAATCTGGTAAATATACTTGGTTCCCAAACCATATACACCAAGGCACCCCGGGCACTGCAGCAAGTTCACAGGGCTGCCGTAGGATCGTTTAGTTTTTTAAGGACATGCAGTGATACGGGACATCTGTCATACACTGCTCAAAATCAACGTGAACAGGAAATGAGGGGAGTGGTGTCCAATCTGATTCCAGGTTTGAGAAGCTGTGCAGTGCCCAGCAGGCACACACACTCCATTAGTAAGTCACTGTGATGATAAATGAAATAAAAATATTTTTTTCTCTCAATCTATGTGGCTTTTCTTTTTCCAAAATAATACAACAGCTACTAAGTTAGGACATAAATACTTAATAAGTTGTTTGGACCTAACTACTTAAGTAGAATTGTTAGTTATTTGTTTTGACCTAGTTGCACCGTGAAAAAAATTGCTGAGACACAAAGATTACTGTAAACAGAGAGCGTTCGGGGATCTCTGATAAAGCCCTTAGTTTAAAATTATGCCTTTCAGAGGATTAGAAACACACATGCAGGGACTTCCCTGGTTTCCCAGTGGTTTTCTGTGCTCCCAACCTCGGGGGCCTGGGTTCAACCCCTGGTCAGGGAACTAGATCCCGCATGCGGCAATGAAGATCACACATGCTGCAACTAAGACCCAGCACATCCAAATGAATTAAATAAATAAATAAATTTTTTTAAAAAGAAAAGAAACCACACGCACACAAACATCACTGGCAGCAGTAGCATCAAATGCATATTGACCACCCAGCTCTGAACTCTGAGACAGCCTTTGGTTCCATGGAATGCTTTTTTTTTTTTTTTAATTTATTTATTTTGGCTACTCGGTGTGGCATGCGGGATCTTAGTTCCCAACCAGGGATTGAACCCAGGCCCTCTGCATGGGGAGCACAGAGTCTTAACCACTGGACCACCAGGGAAGTCCCCCATGGAATGTTTTTATTTTTTTTTAATTAATTTATTTTATTTTATTTATTTTTGGCTGTGTCAGGTCTTCATTGCTGCACACAGGCTTTC